AGATGGGTTTGAACCGAAAACCTTGAGCCAAAGGGGCTACGGTTGGTGGGAGTGGACGGGTGCGTCCGGTTGGTGGCCGACTCTGGAGCTGCAGCCTGTGGAGCCCCCGCAGTCTGCGACAGCACAGCAAGGAGCTTTGCATGTGTCGGATCCACTTCGGGAGCACGCTTGGTGTATCTAGTTGGCGCACTAGGAGGTAGCCGCTTAGCGCGCTCAGGACTGGGGGCGGTGCTGCTTGTGCTAGCAATGCCTGTCTGGTCGGAGGTAGTCTCCTCTCTTGTTCAGGCTATTTTGGCTGCAGGCTTGAGGCTCTGTTGTAGCAGTGGCAGGTGGGGCCTTGGCCCTTTCAGGCACAGTCGTGAACATCTCCATGAGTGTTGCCAAGTTTGATCGATTTGAGGACCTTGAAGACCACGTGGTTGACTACCTTGCCTCTGTAACCGACCTCAAGGTCTTCGGGTGTACCATCGACTTCTTACAAGTTGCCACGCAAACGTATCTAGAGAACCCAGTCTGCAGCAGAGCATGGAGTACTGTATCGTCTTTCGTGATTGCTGCGAAGTCCTCCCCACACAGGAATGCCTGGAAGGGTGTCCCATCCACGACATTCCACTTGCTGTCCATGTCCCCATGAACCCGGAGGAGATGGTCCCTGAAGGTGCTTTTGCAGGTGTGCCACGCCTACGTCACGTCAGCGTAGAGCCAGGCATAAGATTTGTGGGTGCAGAAGCATGGCAATGTTGTCGACAGCTTCGAATCGTCAAGATGTCGGCAACGGTAGTTGGCATTGCTGACAATGCATTTCGAGGCTGCCAACTGCTCAGCAGCGTCACCGCACCTGGCTGCGGGAGTTTGGCTATAAAGCCTTTGCTGAATGCAGTTCCTTGCAATGGGTGTATGCAGCTGAGGGAGTTGCCAACCAGTTTTGTAGTACCACCAAATTTGGGCGTTACCTCTTTCGAGATTGTATAAACCTCGCCGATTTTGTCCTGCGAGAGGCTTCTCCCCCACACGGGTCGCCACAGCAAATAAATGCCAGAGAACTAGCGCAAGGCTGCCTCAGTTCTACGGGGATAAGCATACTCACACTCACGCAGGACTTCTCTGTGATAGGGGCACATGCTTGTGACAATTGTCACTTACTAAAGAAAGTCGACATCTCCAACACAAAGATTGAAGAAACCCAAGAATTTACCTTTGCGCACTGCACTAGCCTTTGTGAAGTCAGTCTGCCTCCCACGCTTCATACCATTCAAGTCAAAGCTTTCATGAACTGTGCGGCGCTGCCAGAACTTGCCATACCGCCCTCATTGCGGTATATCGCCAGCAGAGCATTTTTGGACTGCACTGCACTCCGGAGACTGGTCAAACTACCAGGCCGGCATAAATGGAGAGGAATATATGCGGAAGAAAATGCCTTTGCCATCTGCCAGGTATGAGATGGCCACCTTGGCTACATATGATTCCAGACACGGGGTACGTGTCCGGATTAGCCTGAAATGCATTTCGCTCACTTAGGAAATGTCCTTGCTTGGATATTCCTGCGCTTTCAGCCACAGTTAATTAATTCGTAACCTAGCGGATGAGATCCGGAGCAAATTCGGGGCCTTTTTTGTTTGACCACCGCCTAGGTGACATACCCTCAATTGCTCACCATCCCTGACAGTAGTTACGTGCCTGGGTGAGAGCCTTAGCTCCTGTCCATGGTAGGTGAGTGGTAAGATCGTGTGCCTCACATAACATTTCGCCGCAATGCATATGTGAGTGACCGTCAGCCGCCACCTCCTGCTGCGGGCTCAGTGAGAGACTCCGCATTCCCGTCCGGGCTTATAGGCTCAAGCTGGCTTTAGGTTGCAATGGCGGCAATTTGCGACTTTGGCAGATGCTATGCCTTTGTGCAGTTCGCAAGGAAGCGAGGAAAGGTCATCAGTACCGCCTCTCACACTAACCACCCTAGCTGGAGAGGAAACCCAACTTGCAATCGACCAATGCAGTGCTGGAGCAGCTCCCCTATCTGGGAGACAGCAGCACCTTTGGGTGCGAGCTGCAATTCGTTCAAAAGGACACCCGCAAAGTTCTGGCTGACCCCATTCGGAGCACTCTGCGTGACAATCACTGTTTCTACGTGGTTGCCCGACAGTGTTTTGTGGAAGTAGTACACAAAGGGCACCTTATGGGAGAAGCCAAAGCCATTCGAGTACCATTTGGCGCGACTGATAGAATACTGCCTCAAGCGTTTTCCTTCCACACGGAAGTCAGACATGTCCAAGTTGAAGCAGGCATCCGTATTGTGGGGGAGGCTGCTTGGAGGAGCTGTCAGCGACTGCAAGTGGTCCACTTGCCAGACACAGTCGTCTGCCTGCGGCACGGGGTGTTTCGCAGATGTTACCTGTTACGTGCTGTGATGGCCCCGGGGCGCAGGCAATTCGGCATCAAGGTCTTTGAGGCATGTTGCTCTCTAACGCAAATTGGGGCGACTCAACACCCTAGTAATCAGTTAGCCCCTCAAGCACAATTTCGGCCTCGAGCCTTTGAGAAATGTACGGCCCTGCGTCACCTCAACATAAAAAAGACAGAGTATGACCCCACTAACCCGAACAGATGCTTGCCTGCATGCTGTTTCCTGGAAGCAGGAATTGTTTCGCTCTCCCTGCCGCCAGTTTTAATTGGGTTGGGCCTGCAGCCTGTGCACGTTGCCAGCAGCTGCAAATCGTTGACCTGTCTCGAACGGACATTACTGAAATACTGGGCTCTACCTTTGCGCACTGCTCGCAATTGCAGCAGCTCAGACTCTCTCGAAACTTGCGAATCATAGAGCAAGAAGCATTCTTCCAGTGCGCCTCACTACAAGAGGTCTGCATCCCACCATCCCTGCTTTACATAGCGAGGCGTGCTTTTGCTGGTTGCACGCAACTTCGCACATTCTGTAAAACTGGGAAAAGCACGACTTGGGGAGGGACGTACGCCCGGATCAATGCCTTTGACAAATGCGAGCATCTAGACAAGCCTAAGTGGCTCCGTTTCTTGCCGCCAAATGCCAAAGACCAGTGGAGAGAAGATTTTACAGAAGCAGTGCCCTAGGGCTCATGAATGCTCAGTCACATGGTGTCTGCGTAAAGGTTTCTTCTCCTACCTTTCGAGTGATCGTCAGTCTTCGATGACCAAATAGAGTCACTATTTTGCCCTCATCACCTACAATTTTGTGAGTCCACCGGGATGAGAGCCTTAGCTCCTTGTCCCTGGCAGGCGGGTGGTAGCAGAATGGTGATGGAAGGCGCCCAGGGAGAACCTTGGTTGCTCATCTGCGGCGGCCGAACCATAGCCAATCTTGTACAAAGATGGCACAAGAACCATGCTAGGGTAGGTCTTCTGTCTCACCAGTCTCACACGGGCCTTGCATGTGGTAGGATAGTGTCTTTTCATGCACACTATCTGAAGAATGAATCACCCCCTTTGGCATATGTGTGGGAGCCATGGGGTGCGAATGAGACCTCCCTTGTGGGAGGGAACACAGCGCTTTCGTCAGCAGTCCATTCGTTGCATTGCCCCCACTGCCAGACTCATGATCTGCCTCTCACTTCGCACGTGCAATCAGTTGGATAGGTTGTGCCACGAAGAGGGAATTTTCCTTGGCTTGCCTGGTTTTGCAACCTCTGACTCCTTTGGCAAGTGTCATTACTGCTGATCATCACCCTTGGCCTTTTGCAGGAAGTCGCAACACTCCGAGTGCCACTCACCGTAGTGGCTAAGGCGATCTTACCCATGCCAACAGAAAGAGGCCACATTTGATTGGCCGCTCAGAGATTTCACCCACACTCAGATGCATCTTGCGTTTTTGTAGCGAATTCAGGCCCTTAGATAGTATGCAGTTACTCTTCTCACCTGTCTCACTTCCGTACAGAGGAAACACTACCAAACTTGATGGGTTTCTGGTTGTGGCCTGGTTGTGTTTTTGTGTTTTTGGGTTTGTTCTTTTGGGGTCTTGCTTGGGTTTTGGTTGTGTTCTGGTGTCCTTTCTCCCATCATCATGTAGTGTTTCCTATCCTTCTATGATGACCTGGGCACACCGCCCACATGGCGTCTGCACTCGTGGAAAAAATCCAGGAAGCCACTGAATCCCTGAAAAGATTTTTTGTTGATTTTGCAGAATGGTTCGATGCAAAATCGGGAGTGAAGATCGAGACATTGTCCTTTGTCGGAAAAGGGAGCCTTGAAGACACACGTGCTTGCTGTGCAAGGGCATGAAACTTTTGTGGTGATGATTTTTTTATCGAAAATGACGAGGCTGTCACATCAAGGTTTTTTTAGAAAACCGCAGTTTCCGGTTGTTTTGACACCATTTTTTCATGATGTGGCATTTTAGATTTCAATGGAGGGTGCGGCGGGCGCCATTGAACTCCTGTCCGACTCGCCTCAAAGAAACCCATCGTCCCACACCATAGCAGCCACTTGCGAAGCAAACTTGAAATTGGCCAGACCTGTGGCTTGTGAAGATCGAACCATTCATTCCCTTTTTCGGAAAAAATGAAGGCACATGTGTTTGCTATGCAAAGTTGTACCCACCATGGCATTCAGATGTGATACATGTTCCATCGACATATGTAAGCTCAAGCGCACCAGCCCTTTGAAAGCGCGCGCGCGGCCCACCCAGTGATTGAACCTGTGGCCAGTTTTGACGCTTTAGGCACACATGTTCAAAATTGGTTGTTTTTGCTATAAACCAATAGGTCAGGTTGCAATTTTTTTGTGACATTTGCTTTGGGAGCAGGCAGTTTCCAAACAATTTTGTGGGGTTTCAAACTTGTTACAACAGCAGTTAATTTTCCGGTTGCATTGGGTTTGCCGAGCAGATTTTCGCAACTTTGGCCCAAGCAGCCGGAAACAAATGCAGCAAAAACGAAACAAATTGTCTATGTACTGGTTCGCGATCCCACGCCGATTAGAAATACATTCGCCATTTCTGCCTTTCTGATTTGGTGGCCTTGGTTTCCAGTTCCCTTATGGCAAGCCCGCGATCTTCCACACTCCAATGGGCCGAGTCCATTTTTGCTCGTGAGGCAAGATGGCAAATTGCAAACCATTTTCCTTCCAGATGTTTTGACAGGCAGTATCGCTCCAGGTGGCATCAAGATTGTGTTCTAAACTCGGTGGGTTCAAGACACCAAACCCAGGTTTTGATCATTTTGCTTGAGGCCTTGTGGATATGGCCTCAATGCTTGCTGTGCGGAACCCAGGTCTTGGACCAATTCACATTTGAAACGACTGAGGGCAACTTGTCAAGATCTTAATCCGATTGCAGCATGTTTCTGCAGGTATGCGCCACTACCGCAACAGTTTTTCGAGAGGTGCATCAATTTCTTTGCACGGCATTTGTATTGAATTAGTTTGCAGGCAGGATCTTTGACCCTCGCTCAGCAGCTCGACTGGAAGCATTTGTGTTTCCAAATTGAGAAGCAATTAAGCGGCTTGAAGTAGGTGCAGGAGAAAGGCGAACCGTTCTATGCACGAACAACACATTTGTGTGCTGTGCACCTTTGTCTGATCCCAGAGGTCAGGGCAACACGGCACGGGAACACAGTGATGGGTGTATCACATATGAAATGAGTGAACCCCCCACAACATTGAAATTGTGAGAGTGAAGTGTGCGGGCATGGAACCAAGGTGAGACTCTCATGGACTTGGTTTGTTGCGTGAGCTGCCATGTTTCCTCATTGCACTGCAAGTCAAACATTAGAGAACAATGCTGGTGCCCATGAGCCAGGCATTGGGCGCATCCTTGAGCAGTGGTTTAATGGATACCCTGGAAGGCAAGGCCTTCAAAGTCTATTTGTGTTAATTACGTGCACTGGGTCGGACTTGGCTGATTGGTAATGGAAAGTACAAGTCTCTATTTTTTCGTTGAACAGAAGGGTGTGGCAAAATCCAACAACCATGCACCTCGCGATTGCTGGAAGTGTCGCGGTCCTCAAACTTTCCACGGCCAGAATCTCTCCATGTGAAAATTGGAGGGATTGTTTTCAGGCCTTGTTTCATGATGAGTGCGGTGTGTTTGTTTCTCTTGTGTCGCTGACATGTTTTCCCCAGGCCTTGTCCGGTGTGGAACTCATATTTAGATGCCGCTTATTAATTCAAAACGTAAGGAGACAGGAAGACGCTCTGCAACGTTCAAAACGTTTGCGTGTCTTTTCAAAGGTTTCCGCATGGAAGGCCGATCCTCTGCCATGCTGCGTCTTCTGGCCGTCCAGATGCCACGGGCTTGGAACCGGGAGAGTCTTGCCGAAGAGTACATTTTACTACAAAGCGTTACGCTAGTAATAGCTTGGAGGCCATCATTAGTAGGTTGGAGGCCATCGCTATAAGGGTGGAGGCAAGGGCTCTTAGGCTCCTTTCGCTATTAGGTCGGAGACCATCGGTCTTAGGTTGTGAGATGGTTGCTAAAGCATTGGAAGTCAGCCGCGACCTGAGAGTTCATCCGATTCAAGCCGGGGCTTCAGCCATCTTTCGGGGTTTTTGCGAATTGGTTCTGTCTCTCTTGAATTAGGAATTGGAGTTAGCAGATGAACCCTGTGGGGCATCACCATTGTGCTCGGCTCATGATTTAAGCGTTTCTTTCCGTTTTTCGATTTTGTAGATTTTTCAATTGAACCCGTGCAAAAAGGATTTTTATTCGTTTTCTGCATTGGATGCACTTGATTGAGTGCTTGAGGCACTTTGCAGCATTAGGCGGCCATGAGCACGTTTGCGAAGTACTGCAGCAAACTCAGCTTTCCATGCACACTTTCTACTGGGAGCTTCACCATGTTTCGCTCAATTTTTTGCTTTTAAGGATTGAACATGGTGCCGCAGATGTGGATTGCCGGGACTGCTCAACGAAGTGATGTCATGGAAGAGTGCTGAAGAAATTAAAGGAGCAAAGCGAAACAATTTGCATAGTGCGCACATAGGGCAAATGAACCAAGCTAGCCAACGTGATCAAGTCTGAGGAGGTGAGTATGGCCTATACTAATCTTTTCCAGATCAACAACTGCATGGTTCAGAACCAATACGGATGAAGCAACAGAGATAGAGACCCTTGTGTGCTCCAAGGGAGACCTGCTTTATGGTAAACTCTTACATGATGCCTTTGATTGTTTTCACGTTCCACAACCATTTTTTCATGCAAGGCCCCGGCCAGTACCGTAAATAATGAGGATGAGTTATTGAATCCTTTCAGCAGCAATCCACTGTCGCCCTCATATCATTGTTGAATTGAAAAAGAGGAGTTAGGGCCCCAGGCTTGAATTATTGACTCTGGGGGTGTTTAGGGTTTTGGCATCCTTTATAACTAAGGCTTTGAATAATTTGTTTCATCTACTGTTTTTACTGCCTTAGCAGTTGACTTTTCCTGTTGGTTTGCTTGTTTGTTTGGTTGTTAGCTCTTGGCATGCAAGTGGGTTGACTTTTCCTAGAGTTTGAAAAAGCAGGACTATCTCAGACTCAAGAGATTCTTTTCCTCATCCAAGTATCCCGACTGTTCCTGTGACTGCCCGCTTTGGTAGGACAATTCAGGGCTTCGAGCCCTTCACCTGGCAGCTGAGCAGGGTCATGTCAAAGCTTGTCCGTTGCTGAGTTGCAGAAAGAAGAAGGGCCCAAGGGAAAACAAGGAAAGAAGAAAGAAGAAAGAAAAAGGGTTCAAAAGAAGAAACAAGGTTCAAAAGAAAACTAGGTTTTACGCATGAGGTCTTTCCCTTCTTCAATGTGGGGCAGGGCCAGATGGACCAGCAGGCCATTTGACTAGTGTTAATTCAACATGTCTTGTTCTATGATGTTTTCAGTCATCAGCAAAGCTTGACAGGATTCAGTGATCTTGCGTGCGGCCGATGACCCAGAAGAAGTATCGGCTAGATGTATATAGCTTGTTGTAATTGTTGCCAAGAATGCAGTTCTTCAGGTGCACCAACACCGCTTCTTTTGGCTGCAGAGTGTGGTCACGCAGAGGCCAGATTCACCTGGTATCCAAGTATGTTAATGTAGAGTTGATAATAAATGGCATTGCTTTCTGATATGAGATCCTACTGTGTGACCATGCCCTTTGGAGGTTTGTGCCCTTCTTGTGACTTTCCGCTCGGTCCTAGGTTGGAGAGGTTTTGAGCAACGGTTCTAAGCTGTGAATGCTTGTTGACAAGGGAATAGTGTTGCAGGGGATGATCATTACCATGCTCCCATGTCGCAAAGCACTTGATGTGGGAAATTGAAGCTTGAAGCGGGAGAGTCCGAGAGGCTTCACGGTGAAAGAACAGGCTTTCCATCAACAGAGACGTGGCACTTTGTACACTTTGTACTCAAAAGAAACAATATTTATTGAACTTCAACCCGAACGCACCCGAACCAATTGAACCTGCTTGGAACCTGCTTAGAAGGGTTAAGTCTAAGTTTCCCTAAAAAGTCTAGGAACCAAATCATTAGAAGCGTGAGCTATCCTGCGTCCAAAGTAGTAGCTACTTAAGCTACTAGCTACCTCTCCCTTCTAGCTACCTACCTCTACCTACTAACTCCCCCCCAGTCTTTAAAGAAATATGGTTGAACATTTTGGGAGTCCCTTTAGGAGTTCCTTTGTGGGACAGAGAATTGAGAGCGCATTAAGGTGCAGACCCTTTGGCTTCCAGCCTCGATGGGCGTACTCCACTGGCTGTAGCAGGGCTCCAGAATGACAAGTGATGTCTTCTTTTTGCGTCAGAGAATGTGTTTTGAATCATCAGTATGTCTGTTGATTGAAGACAGCTAACCCAAGTGGAGTCACTAGAGCTCATTTGGTCACTTCCTGTTCCGTGCAACAACCCATACACTGCTTGTGAGGCTCGACAAAATGCAATAGGAGCTGGGCAGGGAGCCACAAGTTTCATGTGATAAGATTTCTGTACATTCCATTTGCATTGCATAGATTGCTATTCTTGTGACTTGTGCATCCTTGAGTTTTTTTTTTTTTTTTAAACAGTTCTCAAGCCCTGGGCGTTGGAGTTGATCGTGTCAGATGCAGGATCATTTGATCCTTGAGGTCAGAGCTGCTCGCTTCGCTCGAGGCAGCTCTTTGGCCAAACCGTGAGGCCATTTGAGAAAGAAAGAGCACGAACGAGCTCCTGGAACAAGATTGGACAAACATATGTGTAGGAAGTAAATCAATCTTACAACCCTGGCATTTCTTTGAGGTTTCATTTGACTCTGGACCTCTGGCCGCACTCGTCGGTTTGGTCGCACTTGTTCTAAGCTGTCCTGCAAGGCCCGGAAACTTCAGCCAGTGTTGGCAGGCACGTTGAAAAGCTCTGCAGACTTTGTTTCAAGCTTCATGCTTTTCCTTTTCTTCTGTGTCTTCCCTTGACCCTCTTGTCTATTTTTGTTTTTTTCCTTTCTTGGCTTCAGGACCTGATGCTCAAGATATCATCCGTCGGACCTTGCGGCAGACCTGATCTCAGGCGGTTCTGAAGACCTGCTCACACAGGTCGCTCTTGACTCAACTGAGGCGCTGAAGAAGTGGCGCAGCTGCGAGGCTCGGATGTAACGAACACAATGACCGAGATAGTATCTTAGCGATAGCTATGGGGTTCTTACTTCAACAAGAAATGAGATGGCGTGTGCGCTTTTGAGATGGGCTGGTCGGGTGCTGGTGCTGGTGCTTGGTCATGTCTACGCAGAGTCCCGAAAGCACAGTAGGAGATGAAACAAGGTAACGATGGTGTTGATGACGGCCATGATGACGATTTTGTGATGATGATGGTAATGATGATGCTGATTTTGATGTTGATGATGACTGCAATGGTTGACAAGATAAAGTAGACAAAGTAGACGTGACAATCTCGGGATAGTAAGACGCACTTGCAGGACACTCTTGCGAGACACCCTTGGCATTCTTGTGGGGACTCTTGCAAGACATTTGTGGGGCACTCATGAAAGACAGTTAAGAGCCATGCGAAGTACTTTCCACCAAGGTCGCGCAAAACTGCGTGGCACAGCGACATCGCAGACAAAATTTCGCCCCGCCGCGCGCTTCTCACTAGATGCGACAATGTGACGCTGATCCTTGTTGACAATCATGATGCTGGCCAGCGACATGCCGCATTTACGCACGCATGCCGCATGTATTCCCCAATGGCGCGGAGCCACGCAAACGCCCCTTCAACCGAGGCCACAAAGTCTCGAACCCACAGCGACATCGCAGGCATACTTTTGGACACTGTGTGCCACAGATACCAGGCCTCTTTGACACCGCCAATCATTTGTATTCCACCTATGGCAGGAGCGGCCTCGAAAAGTGTTCGCGGGCTGGCTGGCATGCATGGCCCCGCGACATGTGCGCTACGAAGTTGCCAGTTGAGAGGCCAGAGCTCCCAAAAGCCGCTTCCAGCATTACATTTGCACTACAAACTTGGCAGCTAGGGCCCGTACTACATGTGTATTACAATTATGTACAAAGTAGATCCCAGAACCTGTGTCCCATATTTGGGCAAACAAAGGTGCCAAATCAGTTTCCAGTTGAGCGGCCGAAGAGCTGCTTCCCGCACTACCAAGTGGCCAGCTTGTGCCCGAGTTTCCAGACGCTATTCCCGCGCTACATGTGTGCTGCGCAGTTGCCAAGTTTGATTCCCGTGTTTCATCTGTTTTCGAAAGTTGCCAGTTCTCAGGCCCAATTCTCCGACAAACAGACACTTCGGTGGCTTCTGTTTTGATTTTCGAGGACAGTTGCACGCTTTGGCAACTTCCGCCTTGATTTTCGATTGCAGTTGCACACATATTTGGCCGCTTCGGCCTCCATGTTCGACAAGAGGTACACACTTATGATTATGCGTACTGACTTGACAGCGGTGCCACACGCCGGCCTAAGAAACCAAATCCTGAAAAACCAGGTAAAAGGGGGCTGCGCCACGCGCATTTAGTGAAAGGCCACGAAACGACGAGCCGACGGGATGACGACTTTCCGTGCATGACTGCCGATGCATTAGCACTTTACAAAAAGGAAAGGAAGAAAGGTGGCCACCAGCTGCGTCTTACAATGCGCCCAGGTGCACCAAGCAGGTACGTTTTCACCACAGCTTGGATGGGTCTTCGTTGGCCCATGCCATCCAAGTGTCCATGGGCCCCCTGCTCTACAAAAAGAAAGCACGAACAGTACAATCTGAGTGGATTTGTGTGACTACAAGGGGCACACACACACACACGCCTCCCCAAAGGGAGGCAAAATTTGCTCTAAGCTGAGTCCAAAGGTGACAGGCTTATAGAAATGCGTACTGACCCGAATGCCACATGCCACATGCCCACCTAGGTTTGAACGCCTAAGATTTCAGGTTGGGTAGTAATTGAAAAACATCCCATGGAACCTTCAAAGCCCACGAGCTCGAACTGCGGAAACGCGACAAGGTGACGACGTTCCGTGCATGACTGCCGCTGCATTAATGCTTTACAAGAGAAAAGGAAGGAAAGTGGCCACCAGCTGCGTCTTATAATGCGCCCAGGCGCACCAAGCAGGTACGTTTTCATGACAGCTTGGATGGGTCACACGCCTCCCCAACAGGAGGCATCTCTGCCCTAGAGCGTCCTTGCACCCAGTAGCAAGGCCAGGAGCCCCTAGTAGCGTCAAAGTAGCTTCCTGGCACCTAGTGGAGCCCCTAGTAGCGTCCCACTCTAAGGTCCCGACAGGAGGGAGGGGTAGGGAGAGAAGAGAAAAAAGAAAGAGAAGAAAGGAAAGGGGAAGAAGGTGTTCCCAGCCACGACACAAGCGTCCAAGGACACACCCAAAGAAGAGAGGAGAAGGGTTCCCAGCCATCCAGGGACACCCCCAAACAAGAAGGAGGGAAAGGAAAGGAAGGAGAAGAGAGAGAGGGAAAAGAGAAGGAAGAGGACAGGTTTTCCCAGCACCAGTGAGAGAGGGGTGAACCTGAGTATTACATTCAGGAACACCCCAAGATGACAAAAAGGGGGAGAGAGGAGGGGAGGGGAGGAGGAAGGGGGCTAAGGTCGCGACAGACTCCAACGAGTCTTAAACAAGCTTCGGCCGCTGCGGCCACGTACGCCGTGCCAAAATGGCTGGCAGCGTTTTCACGTAAAGGCATGAGCCACCTGCTTTGTCCGCTGCGGACTACTCTGGTCCCGGACGCAGGGACGAAGACAAACCCCCGGTCAACGGGTCCACAGGGGGCACTCTGCGGGCTCACCCTGGGCTCTCACACTATCACTAGGAGAGACACACTTATGATTATGCGTACTGACTTGACAGCGGCGCCACACGCCGGCCTAAGAAACAAAATCCTGAAAAACCAGGTAAAGGGGGGCTGCACGCCTTTAGTTATAGGCCACGAAATGACGAGCCGACGGGATGACGACGTTCCGTGCGTGACTGCCGATGCATTAGCACTTTACAAAAAGAAAAGGAAGAAAGGCGGCCACCAGCTGCGTCTTACAATGCGCCCAGGTGCACCAAGCAGGTACGTTTTCACGACAGCTTGGATGGGTCTTCGTTGGCCCATGCCATCCAAGTGTCCATGGGCCCCCTGCTCTACAAAAAGAAAACACGAACAGTACAATCTGAGTGGATTTGTGTGACTACAAGGGGCACACACACACTCACTTTGGCAACTTCCACCTTGACTTCGTTGTCGACGATGTTGTGCTTTTTGGCACCTTCCACCTCCATTGCCGACGGCAGTTACACGCTTTGGCAGCTGCCTATTGCACGCGTTGGGCACTTCCACTGACTTTCGCCGCTGGCAGCTACCTGGATTTTCGAAGGCGGCTTCCACTTTTATATTGGACGACAATGACAACTTCCATCTTGACTTTCGACGACAGTTACGCGCTTTCGACAACAGTTACGTAATGTTACGTAGTTTCGTGGCCGCGTCCCGATTGAATTGCAAATTTCAACAACGACAGTTTGACACTTTGGCCGCTTCCACTTCCATTTTCAATGGCAGTCGACAGTTTTCACACTCTCCGATTTCCACCTTGATCTTTCACCTCTGTTCAAGCCTTAAGCGCTTGACATGCACGATCTCCGCCATGTTTCACGAAATGCATACCAAATTCGTTTTTCGCTTCACGTTTGAGCGCTCAACCTGCGCCATCTCCGCAAAGGGTTCCCCCAGCGCAGCGCGCGCGTTTCAGTTTACCCTGCGGACACGCAGGCGTGCGCAATCTCTGTAAAGCGTAAAGGGTCACGTTTTGGTGGCGTCCGGGCCGCCTCGCCGCCTTACAAAAAGATTAGAAAGATGAAGTTGTAGTTGTATTTGCGTAGGTGGGTTTTAATGGGTGCCTTCACTGGTATCTCTACATTTGTATCTCAACTTCTGTATCCACAGGCCTGTATCCAAACACATTTATCTAAACTAAAGACCTGTGTCGACGCGCCCTTATCCATGTAGATGTGGTTATGCAGGTGCATCGCCTGCATCTTTGCACTTGTTTGATGATGATGAGGTTCATCATGGTGATGATGATGGTGTGTTGTAGCAGGTACACCAATCACTTGCATCTCTACATCTTGATGAATGAAGATGATGATGATCATGATGATGATGATAATGATGATGACGGTTGGGATGAGGAGTGCGCTAATTATGAAGATAAAAATGAAGAAGAGGAAGAAGAAAATGATGCTGCTGGTGATGATGATGGTGATGATGATGTGATGACGAATTTGGTGATAATGAATACCGTGATGGTGATGTTGATGATGATGATGGTGGTGATGACGATGATGATGATTGTGTTGGGGTTCTTACTTCAGTGCAGGAAGAGGTGCGTGCGTGCAGTTTAAAAATTATGCTGCAGGGTGGCGCTGCTGGATGCGATGGCCGTTTGCTTTTTAGAGCGCGGGGGTGCTGCTGCTGCTGCAGGGTGCCGCTGCTAGATGTCCATGGCCGCGTGGTTTTGGAGCTTGAGGTTGGTGCCACTGTGCACTTTAGAACTTGGATGCTGATGCCAGATGTCTATGGCACTGTGTGCTTGCTGCTGCTGCTCTATAAGACGCTGCCCGCAAATAATGCTGGCGTAATTTTTGTGCACTTGGGTTGCTGCACAGATGGAAAGGCCTTGGTCGCTGGATTTGGACAGATCCTAGGTTGCTCCCTTGATGGGACGAACATGATGCTTATGCTGGAGGAGCTGTCGCTCTGAAAGGCAGGGAGGGAGGTATAAGAACATTCCAAGACTTGTAATTCCTGTACAAAATGTTCATGCAAGTGCAAACCTGATCCAGATCAATTTATATTGGACGAGCAAGGAAAAGTTGTGGCCTTTTGGCATGCCAGCGTTCGATCTGATCAGCTTGCGTTTGCAAAGAGGGACTCATATATTGTATTTAAAATTCGCTGCATGGCTTGCCATTTGAAATTGGCACCCGGGCTTCAGAGCACAGCTGTAGCCAACTTCGTATTGAAACGTACTGAAGGGGTTTGCGCAAAGAACTTAGCAAACTTGTCATTGCAGAGCGCACTGACAGTGCGGTGCCATGCACTAGTTTTGTGCTCCGCCTCAAATGGACTTGGTCCTACACTACCCGAGGTGACGCCGACCTTCGTTTCTGTCGTACAGTTCCCGATTTCCAGCTTCCGGCGTGAAAACGTTTGGCTGGATACAGAAACTCTTGGCTGGACGGTGCTTGGACAACTTTATGTTACATGATGTTTTTTGTGTTTCAATTTTTGGTCTACTTGCCTTTCCAGGCAAAATTACAAGGCTTTGGATTGCTTCGGCTCTAAGTCTCTGCAAGGCTGCAGTTGTTCTGCACAGTGCACAGTTCAGCACAGTAAAGCATTGCTTTCATGGGAGCGCCTTTGGGTGCGGTTTTTCTGTGCACTTTGGGTAATAATTTGTGCAGAGACGTCCCAGAGGGAAACGCAACGCTCGCAAACAATCAGCAGCGTGATCACTTGGTTCACAAAGCATTGAAACGTCCTATTGCTGTTCTGAGCTGAGCTATCATTCTTGGCAGTTGTTGTTACCAAGCGCATAATTTTTGAGGGTTGTCTGGACATTTTTTTTCGATCGTGATCATGCGGCAGAGATGCCTAGCAATCCTATGCTGATGTGAGTGCTAAGTGCAAAATGATCGCTTGGCTACCATTTTCACAGGCAGTTTCTGAAGGACTCGTACTGCAGACTATGAAACTCATTTGCAACATACACTCTTCAACACAATTTCACAAAGCGAGTGCGGATTGGTTGGGAAACCGGATCTCCCTTTAGCCTCAAAGAGCGTGCTCCTGCCAGTGCCTGAGGAGGCCTGAGGAGGCAAGTTCCGATTGACAAAATCCATTTTTGGCGCCGAGAAGTAGCAAGAACAGACAAGAATAGGCTGAGCACATAAACGGCATCCTCGTCACAGACTCCTCCAGATCTGTCTCTTGCAGAGTATCTTCGTAGAGCTTCTAGCTACTAGTAGTAATGCCCTTGTTATTAGTAGCGGCCCTTGTTGCTAGTAGCTTCCGTCTACTAGTTCTTTTCATTCTCCTTCCAAATCACATGAGTTCTTATCAACGCCAGGACTTTTTGGACACCAATGCTTGCCGCCGCCCCTTTGAAGGCCACAGTCCAGAGTTCGTTTGTATAAGGGTGAATAGATATGAATTGCGGACCTTGAGTTGTTTTATGTGCTCTCCCCAACAAATAACATGCATGAGTTGTGTGTCCCACCGGTAGCTTTTCAAAGCCGGAGCTACCTGACCTCTCCCACCAGACCTCCTCCTCGGGGAGGTGGGAAGAGGTCAGGTGGCTGAACTTTGGGTTGCGTGGGACCATCACTTGCCCTCAGAACTCCTCGTGGAGTGAGGGGGTGACTTGGCCTCTGGAAGCCCTAGCCTCCCCCGTGGGAGTGAGGGGTTCCAGGCGCGACCGTAAGGGGGTGTGAGAAGGCCACTTGTTCAGGTTACAAGGAGCCCCATCTCTCTTTTTTGGGAGGGGTCCTGCCCTCCTAGGCAGGAGCCTGGAGGACCTGAGAGAAAGAGAGAAAGAAAGATTGGAATGATCTGTTGCAGAGTGGCCTTCTGCCCCACCATATGACTTGGGTCGATGGAAAAGAACATGATGATATCTTGGCCTATGCCGAATCGGTTCTGGGCAAGGGTTGCGTGATGGAGTACGAGTGTTATGATTGGAATGGACGAGCCCAGGGCAAGGCCTGTTTGCGAGTTGAGGATTGGAGTGATGCTGGTAGAGGTTTTCTGGTTGGAGATCATCTGATTGCAAGTGATGGGTGCTATGAATGGTATGGCCAGCAGTATTTAAAGGATGGGAAAGGTCTATATCACTTATGCAGTGGGGACCGGACAAAGTGCAAGGCAAAGCTGCCTCGTGGAGATGGAACAGAGTTGGTACATATCAGTCGATGGAGGCTGGCCAACATTCTGATGATGCGTGATATGGAGTATGCAAGAAAGAAAGCCATGGATGGCATCATAAGTTTCGTTGATGGATGGACGCCCCGTGTGCCTGAACCAGCAGGAGCGCCGCCCCCGAAGGAAAAGCCTGAGGCTTTAGCAGACCAAGGTACTAAGAAGGATAGGCCTGAGGCGGCTTGCGACCCGACTGCTTTGGGTCAAGACTTGGAGAAGGCGAAGGAGGCAGCAAAGGAAAGGGAGCCCCAAGAGATCGTTGCAGGTGATGGAAAGAAGGTGTTCCCTAATGAACCAAGAGGGTCAGTCGGGACACTTTTAGAAAAGAAGGCTGCTGAGCGGCGTGAAGAGCTGAGGCAGAAGGAAAAGGAGAGAAGAAAGAAAAGCAGAGGAAGGAGCCGAAGTCGCAAGATACGCAAAGGCAATAAAAGGAAAGGGGAAAGCTCCAGTGAGAGGAGGCATATACGTGAACCCGGAGGTGTTCGTTCAGCGCCCTCCTTGGGAGTCGGAGAAAGGAGTCACCAAGAGTTGATACCTCCGCAGACGGCAAGGTTGAGCGCAAAGAAAGAGGCCGCAAGCTTGGGGTGGAAAGAGTTGATGAGCAAGAGCCGGGCCAGCAGACAGGAAACTGGCAGAGGAAAAAGCTGAAGGTGAAGGGTCCAGTGTTGCCATTCCGGGTCATGAAGGAGCAGTTCCAGTATCTGGAGAGGATGCGTCGGGTCAAAGTCGAGGACCAGTGAAAAGAGATCGCGCGCCCGAAAGCGGAGAAGGAGGACGGAGAAGAGTGGTCCTCCGAGTAGCGAAGGTCCGCGTGGCAGAAGAAAGCAGGGCCCAAGCAGGAGGAGGTTTGGAAGAACTGGGCGGATCCGAAGGGGAAAGTGATCGAGTGAAGCCTCTTCACCGAAGCCCGTGTTCGATGAGAGTGAAGGAGATGGGGCCAGCTTGATGAGCGCTGAAGTGGAAGCTGGAGTCAAAGAGAGTCTAGAGTTGTTGCAGCGTTGGTTGAAGGAGGAGGAACGTGGAGGTTTGAGCATAGCTCAACCCGGAGGTCTCCTGGCACTGGTCTGTATTATATGGGGAGTAGAACGAACTTTGGAAAATATTGGAGGCGGTCCATTGAGCCGGGGTCTGACGACGGCCAGAGTGGAAGACAGCGGGAGTCATACCACTGCCGCTTTGGACCGATGGAAAAGATGAAGTGAGACGCCTGTTTGAAAATTGGAGACTTCCGAAAGTTCGGTGGAACTGACAAGAAAAGTTTTTCGTCGTGCAAGAAGGGCTGGTTTGCTTGTTTGGCTTTTTTTTGTGTTGCTTTTGAACTTTCTGTGGACTGGAGGAGGAAAGCAGGCAAAGGTTCACAAGGGGCCCGTGAGTTTGGAGTAAAGGCTTTTGTAGATGACGCCGCTGAGACCAAGACCATAGTTCCCAGGTCTCCCGAAATGGGAGAGAGGGGACGAGAAATAGGGGGCGTGAGGATCTCCTACTGAAGTTGTGGAAAAGGCCTGGACTGCCGCCTCATGGATATGGAGCTTTGGTGCCTTTTGTTGAGCTGTGTGAGGGAGAACTGCGAGGTAAGCTCCTCAATCCTCTGAGCAGCATCCTTCCTGAGGAAGAGATGCCACAAGAAATCCCACGAACTCAAATTCATGCCTTGAGGCAAGAATGGGAGAAGATTGCAGCTGAGCTGTATAAGAGAGGGTTGGTGAAGACAGTTCCGGCACCGGTCCTAGTCCGCGGCAAGTTCCTGGTAAGCGGAAGCTTTGGAGTAGTGAAACAGGGAAAGTTCTTAGGTGATGAACGCCCCATTATGAGGTCGATCATGGACTTCAGAGGAACGAACGCGGCAACCAGAGTACTAGAGGGAGATGTGAGGAGTTTGATGGGAGCACCAGCTTTGCAGCGCATAGAGTTGCCTGCTGGGAAGGTTGTCCGAATGAGTGCGGATGACCTTGTTTGAGTTGGAGTATTGCAACATGCCCATCGAAGATTGGCCCTGAGATCGCCGTTGAGTGGCGGAGGAGGTCTTCTGGGAAAGTGTGAGATCCGTAGAGACAGCGTCTTTCCAACCTAGGGGAGGAGGACGCACTATGGTCGCTATAGCTTGATGACGCAAGTCTTGTTGAGATCGTGGATTGTAGACTTGCGAAGGATTTGGAAGGAAACAGTTCAGAAGAACAAGAAGCTGTGGGGCGTGCCTATGCGCATTAGGGAATTACCTATTCAAAGGAAAAGAGCTTACAGCGAGCTCGAAGAGCAGAAAAGCTAGGGGCAGTAGTAGATGGAGATAGTGGCGCACTGAAGGGCTCGACGAAGAGAGCTTTAGACAGTCTGTCCTTGGTTTTCTGGCTGCTACGCCAAGAGAGAGTCCCTCCAGGTTTTCTTGGAACAAGAAATTCACACACTTCAGTTCCGCAGGCCACTGTTTGGGGCGTTCAGCTACTTGTGGAAGGACGTTTCGACATCGCCCGGGTGACAAAGGACGGACATTGGGAAACGTGTGAGAGGTGTATCAGGCCTGACAGCAGTCAGCGCAGGTGGTGGATCGCCGTGCCAGGGAATCTTGCGGTCAAATGCAGATAGAGTTCACCTACAGGATCCTCGATCCAAGTTTTTGGAGGTTCTGGGGTGGATTGAAGATGTGGCAAGAGAGATGAGAGTGTGGTCTGTCATGATGGTTGAAAATGTGGTCGGCGATGATGAAGGTACAAAAGAAATGAGCCAGCAGCTAGGGTGTCGTCCCCTGTACGTGCGCGCGTAGATTGGAGCAATGTGGGAATCGATGACGTCCCAGCTATCAGCTCAACCACCATGAATGTTATGATGAACTGGAGTTCAATGAGGAGTTGGAGCCGCTTAACTCGGTGTGTGACACGGGATGTATGGTTGCCCGCTTACACCTATCGTCCTGAGTTTCTGTTTGACAATGCCCAGCGAGATGATGTGAAACGAGTGGCGTCCGGGACCGAGCGAGAGAAGCGCATGCTGCCCGAGAAGTGGCTATAGAGAATAAATAGCTCACACAGTGACGGTCGCTTGTCTGCTCGATCTATGGCTCTGGAAGAAATTAACAAGCGCGAACTGACCCAAAAAGGGGGAGAAGGCTATCGTGAAGGGATGGCGTGAGGAGATGAGTCGACGGAGTTTCAATGACATAGGAGGAGGACGAAGCTTGACAAAGGTTTGGAAAAGGTAGAGGTGCCGCGCTGCTGAATTTGAGACTGACTCATCAGAACCTGCGACGAATGGAATTTCGTAGAAGTGATGTCCGTTTAAATCTGCAGGTCATATATCGTCCGGATGCAGTAGTTCGAACCATGGTAGATCCCCGCAGGTGGGTATGGAAGACAGCTTAAACCTACAGATGGCAAAGAAAGGAGCGCCTCAACCTGCACGAGCTGAGAATCCTGAGGAGCTTGGAGTGGCGAGCCCATTCAGCTGCTTTCCACTCATGCCGTTTCCTTCACCTGTCGGATTGGCAGATTTGTCTGGCTGTCTTGTCAAAAGGTCGAAGCAGCTCGAGGAAGATCAACCGCATTCTGCAAAAAATCTCAGCTTGGTGTGTGACACCGAACCCCTTTTCCTTGGTGGGCTTGGATCACATCTCGGCTGAACCCAGCGGATGGGCCAAGCCGGCGCTTTGAGAAGGATGCCCAGGAGGGAAATGAAGAGAAGAGAGTCCGAGGAAGGCTGTCAGTACAACAAGGTTCACGAGGAACTGCAGAACGTTATACGGTGGCGCTGCAGGAGTTGGTTTTGGTTTATAGAATAATGCGGTGGAAGTGGCAATGGTCTCGGTTGGGTCAGGTTGCGATAGCGGCTTTTTGTGGCCTTTTCCAACCAAGCGCAAGGTTTCAATTGTACCGGAGAGGTATAGTGTTGCCGAGAGCAGAAGGCCAGTCGGCCATCCTTTCTCATACATGACGTTAAAGCTGCGCAACAAACGTGCTTGCCGGTGAAACGGTTCTCTTTAGTGAGCAAAGTGGGATTGCCTGCCTGCAAGCCCCGGGTCATCGACGCAGGCCTGATGAGAAATTCGATGAAATTCGTAGACTTCTCACCGCAGCCTTTAAGTCGGTGTGGAAGGAGAGGGGCTTATGCCCAGGCCATGTAAATTTGACCAGCTTTTGGCCAAAGGCCGCTGGAAACATAATTTGACTTCCCACCGCAGCTTTTAAGTTGCTTTGGAAACATATGTAATTTGATAGCCCGCATCTGCCTTGATCAAGCCCTCCAAAAGTCCATGGCTTTTGTACTACACCCTGCGTTTGTCCAAAGAGTTCGCGCAACAAACCAGAGGTTTGCTGCCGGGCTGGGACGCGTGGACGCGGGGGCGAGGAGGACTTGACCGGGAGAGTGCACTAGTCATTTGACTAGTCATTTGCCTTTTCATCAGATGGCACTTGACCCCGGCAAAATGCGCGGAAAGAGTCAAGAGGTGGCAAAACAACATCATAATGCATGTGCTCTCTCGAAGGGATAACATGCATGAGTTGTGTGTCCCACCGGTAGCTTTTCAAAGCCCCTCCACCACCCCGGTCTCCTCCTAAGGGGGACTTGATCGGGAGAGGGCACTAGTCATTTGACTAGTCACTTGCCTTTTCATCAGATGGCGCTTGACCCCGGCAAAATGCGCGGAAAGAGTCAAGAGGCGGGCAAAACAACATAATGCATATATATATATATATACATACATATGTGTATATAAAGAGAAAAGGCAGATATAGAAAGAGAGAAAAAGAAAGGGGAGAGAGAAAGAGGGATACGAGATAAAAAGAAGAAAGGTAACGGCCCTTGGCCTTTATCTTCCTTCTTTTCATCTCGTCTCCCTGAGATCCATCTCAGCCGCAGGGGATGGACGCAGTCGCATTGGCAGGCAACGGCCTGGAGGGTCATTGAAGGGTTGTTGTCACTTAGTGAAGCTTGTCCATAATGCGATGTGCAAAGCCTCTCATATGCTGTAAACAGATCTTGCGACTAGTACTAAACATAGTGTAGTCTATGTATTTTCTGGGCCTTTGATTCTTGGTTGGTCCCCGTATGTTGGCACTGTGTTTGCTGAGCAGTACTTTTGACGCTGTCCAAAAAACTACAACTGAAGTCTTTAAAGCGCTTCAGTTGGATTGATTGCCTTTGCCCTACCTTCAGGCTGCAAAAAAAGCTAAAAAGGCAATTGGCGCAAGGCACACGTTGTTGTGGGAAACACATTGCCAGCTGTATTTGCCAAAAGACGACATGTCAACTCGGGAGCAGAACACACCGAAGACACACAATCCACGTGTGCAGCTGGGGGAAAATTGCTGGCATCATTTCACCCTGGCAGCTCATCGAGTCAGTTCAAGACCAAAGGGTTGGCCACGGAGGGTTTTTGATGAAACTAAGGCAAGTATAAAATGCAATGCACCGAAGTCCTCGGAACACATGCACAACAAAAGGGTGGACAAATTTAGAGCAAGATGATGCCAAAGTTGGAAAACACGTGAAGTGCGGGCTGATTCACCAAGTGGTCGAGGAATGGGAACAACAAATCTTCTGCTGCATTTTTGGCTGTTATCAACGTTATAGCTGCTTTAATTGTTTAGTCACTTTTTTAGTTGTTTTTTAATTATTACTATTGCTATTGTTTATTATTGCTACTGTTTATTTTTGTACTTGTTTCTTTAAAACTGCAAAAAAATAATGTCTCTTTCACGCAAAGCGCAGCCTCCAGGTGCAGAGCTGCGAGAGGCCGCACCAACGGGGGTCGGGCACGAGCTGGGCCGCTGGAACGACTATTCGACGCAGAAGAAAAGCTCCGGAGTCCCGAAGAGGGAGATCATATCCAACTGAGCCCTACACTTTGTACCAAACACAAACGCAATGTTGTTCTGTTTTTTGGACAATTCTTTGTGTTGGTCAGAGCTGCGCCAAACACCTTTTTGACGCTGGATCAAAACGGCTTCATGCCGCTCATGAGCCATGACGAGCGCGGCTTTCGATCTGCGCTCCTCCCAGTTCGTCCTTTTCGAACTGTCCCTTGAGAAAAAGGTCTCGCCCTCAGCTCAAGCCGTTTTTCAAGCTGATCGCCAGCGCAGAAACTGCAACACCTCACCTCGAGCATGGCTCCCCGGACTGTCTCGCAGCGAGCGTCTGTGTGCAAGCGATCAACCTCATCCTGGTACAGCCACAAAGCTTGGCTATACTCTCTTTGCCCATGCGTCTGTCGCTGGCAGGCCTGACAGATCGCGAAGCCCTCAACCTGGTTTGCGTTCCGAAGGCCTCGGCAGTCTCTCGTCTTGTGGAATCGCTTTCCGCTTGGTGCGAAGTAGGCCACTTGTACTGGCTGGTGCCTTGGAGCTCTCCGTCGACCACTATAGATCTTCGGCTGCGCCGCCAATGCTGACGATGCTGGTGGTTCTTCATGTGGCTCCTCGACATCATTCCCTCTTAGATCACGGCTTGTGGCCACCCTCGAGGCATTCAATGATGGTCTCATCGAGGTCGATGTAGATCCACTGGCTCCTGTTCCCGAATCCTCCACAACGAATCTCGAAAGTACCAACGGAGAAGGTGATCGTGATGATGGGGAAGAGCTGACTGACTTCCCATGGGTTTCCTCTCTCCCGCTATGGTGCTCCAAGCTCCTGGACTTCATGTATCGTCGGATCTTCTCCAAAAGCTTGACCAGCACTATGCCCACCAACATCATGATCGTGCCATCAAAGATCATAAGATCTTGTTGCCTTCCTCGGACTCTTCTACTGGGGTCTCTGTCGAGTTCTGAACTGCGCCATGTACTGTTTGTAGAGCACTCAGGACCATGACCATTCTTGTTGCTTTCTCCAGGTGATATCGAGCCACCAACTTCATGGCCCTCGGCGCAGCGATGCCCTTGTCTTCCTCATGCACAGCATCCCCGGTGTCCGGCTGCCACCCCATGGACATCCTTTCTCGCAAGTCCTTCATCTTTGCGATAGGCAGCGCCTTCGTGCCCACGTCAGCGATCAGCTTACTTCAGCTCCCATTGTCCCGCCTGAAGTTTCCACCTCAAGTGTGCTGCCCTCGCCTTCAGGTGTCTCGTTCTCCAAGCTCCTGTCGCACAGCTTGCAATGGACACCGCTGCAGTGTTGTCGCACTTGAGGTACTTGGCAACTCCAGGGATCATTTCCTCCACCATGCATGCGATGCTGTTGCCAACTACCACTGCCTTGATGACTTCGATGAGCTCTGCTTCTGGTGTTGACAGAGCCGGAAATGGCTGCTTGCAGCTCTTCCAAGCCGCCGGAGTTCCTCCCAAGGTGGTGATGACGCATCCATCCATGACCATGAGCTCCGCCAAGTGCAAAGGAGGCGTCGCTAACTGATTCCAGTGCATTGAGGCGTCGGTCAGCTGGTGCGCTGTCTTGATTGCCCGTGATGGTGCCCTGCTCGTTGCTGAACAGATTCTACTCGCCACATATAGGCGATGTCCGGCCTTGATTTGGTTGCCAGCCACAGTAGTTCTCCTGCCAGCTGTTGCGCTTCCTTCACCTGGATCATCGGGGCGTTCAGCTCTGTCTCCGGTTCTTGGGAGTCCTTCATCAGTTGAGCGCTGCATAGGTCCGGAAGCACTGAAGCCCTTGTTCCACCACCTCCTTGGTGCCAAAGAGCATCGCACCGTCCACGTAGACCAGCGCAAGGCCTTCATCATAGCGTCTTTTCCACCAACCACATCTCCCCTTCTCTTGCCAACGCAAGGCGAATCAGCAGTTTGGGTGGGAGCATGAGAACGATCCTCCAGCAGTTGATGTGGCCCATGAGCATCCTCCAAAGCCATGGCGTTCTTCTTGCTACTTTCCTGCAAGGTCTGCAATGGAGCATTGAGAAAAGCTGTTTTGATGTCCAGGCTAGCTGGGTGCCACCCCCTCAAAGCTGCCAGTGCCAATGAGGTCCTCAAGCAAGTAGTGTCTGGCTCCTCCAGCGTACAATTGCGCGGCTTCTGACCGATCCATTGCATTCCGGCCTGCCCCCTTCAAGTAGTTTCCACAAACCACTAGCCGACATTTCCGTCGTCCATCTAATGCTTTCACTGCATGGATTGCCTTGCCAGGAACGATTTCAACCTTATCTCCATGCTCTCGCTGGTAATAGGCGACTTCCGCAGGTGTCAGGCGTCGAATCGCCTTCTTGGCTTCAAGAGACTGAATCTCCTTGATGATGGCCTCAATCCACAACTCTTTGTCGCGGTAGACCTCGTCGTTGGGCACGATCCTGGTTTGCAGTACTTCATCTTCGAGCAAGCGACCAGCTGCTGCCACCTGCTCCAGTCGTAGGGCCGTCAAGCCCCTTGCAAGTATGGGCATTTCCCGAGGTGCTGAAAACAGCATGTGCTTCTCCTCCTCGTAGATGGCCGGAAGAGTTGCCTGCGATCGTCCTCCAATTGAAGTTCCTCCGCCCCTTGGATGCATTCGAGACCTCAGGCGTAGGAGTCAGGTAGGTCAGAGCACGTGACGTCACTTCGAAGGGTCCTCCCCTTTCCCATGCCCTCTTTCTTGCGCTGATCAGCTGACCAAAGCGTGGGAGCTTTTTGTGGATGTTCTCCCTCCGTCTCCGCTCCACCTCAGTGACATGTCGCGCCGCTGCAGGCCAGCGCCTCCTCGGCACGTTGCTGCCATGTAGAAGACGCCGGACCCGCTGCTTGATGGAAGCAATCATCGCCTCTGCTCTTCCGTTGCTCTGGTGCTCATCTGGTGGGCTGAACGTCCGGGAGATTCCTCTCTGCAGGCACCATTTCTTGAAGGGTGCATTGTCGAACTCCCGGCCCGTGCCGGTGTGTACCCTTGCAACTGGGTAGCCGTGCTTCCTCAACTGCCCATACAGCTCTTGAGTGCCAGCTAACACCTCGGAAGCGCTCTTCGATGCCAAGGGGAGACAGATAGACATTGTGACCATCTTGTGGACCTTCTGGTGCTCCTCTTGCTCCTCCAGCGTCTTCAGACTTGGTCTTGATCTTCTTGGCCTCTTGGATCCTCCCCTTGCTTACGGTCACCCTCCACCGGATCACCTTCATCTTCTTCTCCAAGTTCTTCTTCTTGAAGTAACGCCGCCATCTCATTATCACTCTCTGGCTCGAAGATCTTGAGCCAGAGAGGTTCTTCGTAAGCCACATCTCGAAACTTCCTCAATCCTGGGCCAATCTGGGTGAACTTCCATCTCCTCAAGCTTGTCCCCTTTCACAAACGGGCCAGTCAGGCCCAGAGACAACACGCATGGGGCTGCCACTCCTTGAGCTTGGTGAGGACGGTCCTTGGCTGCTGCTCGTTGACAGACTGCGCAGTCCCTTCGAAATGGCGCATGCCCTTGGGCCAAGTGTTCCTGCCACGACAGAGCCTTCATCGTGATGCACTTCTTCTGGATATCGGTGGCAATTTGCCTCGCCACTTCCCTCATCATCCCTGGCGCCCATCGTGCTAAGTTAGAGCTCGACACTTGATGCTTGGCCTTCAAAAAGGTCCTCTGTCCTCAGGAACTTGGAACATATTGAGTGCTAATGAAGTCGGCTTCACCGCCATCCCGCCATAGGCCCCCTGGTTGAAGGTGATCAGGCCCAGATTGAGGTACTTTTTCATGACCCTCCACTCTTCCGTCCTCCAGAACGATGCAACCTCGGGCATGTGCTGAGGAGCGGCGGGTTGTTCCATCAGGAATCGGACATTGGTGTGCAAGTTCATGGACCTCTTTTGCGCTAGCCGCCTTGCATCCCTTCCCAGCTTCGCCACAATGTACAAGGTCACCATGCGGAACAGTAAGAGGTCATCCAAATGACATTTCGCCATTTCCACTGCCAACTCATCCAGACCCCATATGGCCTTCCCAACGACCGTGACGGCCCAGGTAGTCCTGTTACTGGATGATGACGAAGTTCACTGCGATTACGGCAATTTGGGCCTCCGATCACTGCATAGACCCAGCCCAGCATTGCAATGCGAAGCAACGCGGCGTACGTCGCGTCGTCCTTTGACATGTCGCGTCGCTGGTCTCGTCGGATGTCCACCTCCAGCAGCCGCGCGGTGTCCCCTCCAACCTCCTTCAATGCCCGAGTGAGATCATAACCTTCTGCTTTGCCAGCGTACAAGTGGATCACCACGCCTTCGTTCTCCCCGCTTTCTTATTCTCCGGTTGACTCCAAGAATCTCCAAATTCCTTTCTGGGGTATCCGCCAACCTGTCTTTGATGCGGATCGGAACCTTGTCAAAGATGGGGCAGCTTCCTTCTCGTGAGCAATCTTGACTGCCCTGATGCCGGGTCCTCCTTTCTCCCAAGCCTGGTTCAGATTCAGCTTCTTCAGGGTCGCACTGAGGTCGGCAGCTCGATCTTGCCCCTCGTCTGCAGCACTCATCTCTTTAAGCAACTTGTGCGCTTCTTCCAAAACATTCTTCAGCGAGTCACCAGTCTTGATGGCCGCTTCCGATGTGGTCTCCGGCACTGTGCTGACGGAGAGGATGCTGCCTGCGCAGAGGTCGAAGCCCCAGACTCACTCCTTGAGGTTCCACCGGGCCCGGACTGACCAAGCAGCTTCTGGATTCTTGGCTTCGTACCCGCTGGAGTGCCGTCTGTAGTCATCTTCTTTGCAGTCTCCTTTCTCGGGCATTCTCTCGCCATGTGCTGCGTTGCTCCGCAGGTAAAACAGCGCCTCTCACCACCCGACTTGTCGCCCTTGTCCAGCTGATGTGCCCATTTGCACGCCTGGCCACGACGACAGCCCGACTCCGTCAGGAAGTATTTGCAGGGACCTTTGCTTGTTGCAGGTACATCCCCCTTTTTGCCCCTCTCTTCATTCTAGAGGGATTTCACAGCGGGAGCACCTCCACCTCCTCCGGGCTGACCAGTTCTTGTAGCGCTTGATGCCGGTCTCACTCGATGCATGAGCTGTTCAAGTTCTGCAAGGAGATGCTCCGAGTACGTTCGAACAGTCTCCTCTGTCGGGATCGTATCAAGCTGCAACGTGTTCTTCACCAGTGAACATCCGAACTGCAGGTCCGGCTGCTGGGAGAGGATCTTCCTGCTGAGTTTGTTGATGCCCTTCATGAGGATTGTCGCATCGGGAAGGTTCAAGCCGATGTCCGTAGCTCGCCTGAGCCAGCGCATCCAGCGCCGCAAGCCCGTGCAGGCCTCGCCGGGCGACCGTGCTTCTGCTGGATCTTCAAGTTGTCGAAGTATGATGGTACGCTCGCGCGCGCCACCTGGTTGATAGAGAACCATGAGTTTGCTCACCAACCCCAGGGGCGACAAAGTTCGCGTTGCCACAAGTTCCTCCTTCACAGTCGTTGGGACTGAGGCAAGCAGCATGCTGACGGCCCGCTTCTCAACCCGCTCCCATCGCATCTTTCTCAGCTCCGCTGGATGTACTGGCAGTACCACCTCCTCGCTTCACCCACCACCAACTCCCACCACTCTCCCGACGAGTCGCTGAGGTCGGTCATGGCCGGTTCAATCATCGTGAGCCAGTCTGCCAAGTCGATGGGGGCTGTGTCGCTGGGCTCTGGTAGCACCGGAAGCGTGATGGTGCGGGTTTCACTGCTTGTGGACCTTCACTTGTCTTGTCCTTGTCAACCAGGTAGGTAATGAGCTTGCTCATTGCATCAGCGATGTTCCCACCCTCCTGGGTCTTCGTGCCCGCTTCGGCGTCAGCCGAACCCCGTCCCTTTGAGGGATTGGGGCTCATTCTTCCCCGGTTGCCCCTTCCCACCATTGGCGTAGCTTGAACCATCATGGATTGCGCTCAAACTGTTGCATGGGCGTCAACTCATAGAGTTTCTTCCGCTCCTGTTCAACCGTGGTCGTTGCAGGTAGGCGATCTTCTCCTGATCTTGACCCTCCTCCAGGATGACTGTCTGGTGTTCTGAAGGCCTGATTCTCGATCTCTTTCTGCAGTGCCTTTACCTGCGTCTCAAAGCCAAGGCGCTTGAGCAGAAAATAGTCGGGCAGCTGCGTTTGGATAGGTTTCGAAGATTCGTTGCCCCTGCTCACAGTTGCGGGCTGTTCTGGGAAAGCTGCGGTCGTGAGACGCGCTATGAGCAAAGAAGTTGTTGGAGAAGATGAGGGCGTGACCGGGAGCCAGCGGCCCGTGGCGAGGCATGGAGGTCGGGTATTTGAAGGACCGTGCCTTGAAAGAACTTTTGAACCGCCAAAATGCCGTGCTCTACCTGACCGCTTATTCGCTGGATCAGCCTGAGGACGCTGGGTCAGCGCAAGGGGAGGATCCAGATCCTAGCAGACGCAGGTCAGACGCATGAAAGCCGGACCAAAATGCAACTGCAGAGTTTGATGGAAATCAGGAGCCACGGGCATCAAGTGAAAATGGCGCGCGGAGGAAATCTCGCGAAGACCCACCAGGAAGATGGCAGGTTTGTGAAGATCGGAAGTGGATTGAAGGGAATCCAGCGCGTCAAGAGCTGCTTGATGCTTGCGCCTCCGCAGGCCTACATGGTGATCGGCTCATCGAATTGGGCAACTTCAAGTATAAATCCAATCGTGAGTCGGGTGTCTTGTTGACGCTGCCGCAGGATCACCAGTTCGATGTGTTCGGGACTTTCAAGACCATTTCTTTGAGTCCTGGAATGGAGCAGCTTCGCTGGAGGAAGAGCAGTTCCAGCAAGCCAAGACCCAAGGTGGTCGAGGACGTGCTCAATGAGCAAAGGCTGCGAAGGAAGGCCTCTGAGCGCATAGATCCTGCCACATACATCCAAACGGAGTAGTAAAACTCGGTGTGGGTCTGCCGTGGATGCTGGCTGAGGGGCGAGTGTGACAGTCCCTACCAGCCTTTGTTTCTTTGTGTGTACAGTTGTTTCGCGACGTTTGATTCTGGCTCCAGTGGACGAGAGAGTTCATTTGACTGTTGTGCGCGGAAGAGAGCGCCAGCAGCTTCACGCGCCGTTTCACACGACCCGGAGCTCTTGAGCAGAAAGCAGTTGGGCAGCTGCGTTTGGATAGGTTTCCAAGACTAGTTGTCCCTGCTCGCAGGCCGTACTGTTAGGAGCAAGGGCCCTACTAGGGGCTGGCCCTACTACTAGGAGCAAGGACGCTACTACAAAGGCCGCACTACTAGGAGCAAGGAAGCTACTAGGCGTTGGCCGTGCTACTAGGAGCAAGGACGCTACTAGGTGCTCCTGGCATCGCTACTAGGAGCAAGAGTCTAATTGTTGTTCTTTTCGCCTTACAAAGCGTCGAGGCGGATGATGTTTCAACGCCTCCAATGGGCACAGACGCGGGAGAGGCGGACGGGATCGCTGTGTAGCAGTCCAACGTTGTCTGCGTGTTTGCGCATCGAGTTCGCTGAGCATATGTGTGTGTGTGCCCCTTGAAGTCACAGGGATCCAATCGGATTGTGCTGATTCTATTTTTGTTTTTTGTTTAGCAGGGGGTGGTAACAAGGCAGAGAGTCTACCACCAACGAAGACGCTCTCTAAGCCTTGGTGATACTGGGACTGATCACCCCAGCGTACCTGCATCAACTTTTAACGTTTCCGTAAAGGGCTAATGCGCTCTGCAGACGAGCGGTTGCCGTCACTTCGACCTGTTCGTCGCCTCGTGGCTTTGGAACTTTGGCGGCCTTTAACTAAAGGCGCTCAGGCCCCCCTTACCTGGTTTTTCAGGATTTGGTTTCTTAGGCTGGCGTGTGGCGCCGCGTTCACATCAGTACGCATTTCTACAAGTGTGTGTAACCTGTGGAGTCACAAGGTTCCTTTTGGAGTGTTTGCTTTGAGTTTTGTTTCGTAAGCAGGGGGACCTGTGCGCAATGGTCCAACGAAGCGGCCACAGTCCGTGCGGATATCACGGCTGATCACCGTGACGTACGTGCAAATTGTGATGTTCGTAACCACGATCCCATTCTAGAGTCTTGGAGGCTGTTTCAGGATGAAGAGAGGTCTTGCTGCTGTCAAGGGCTAATGCGCGTTGCGTCCTCCCTGTCGGTACTCGGCCGTCGATTCTAACCTTGTTGCAACTTTCGTGACTTGAGCTTTGGGGTTGAACTTTGGACCTTTGGCCTCCTAACGACTAGAGATGATCAGGCCTCCCCGTACCTGACTTTTTAGGATTCTGGTTCCTTAGGTTGCCGTGTGGACCCTCCCTCTCTTCCCTCTTTGCCTGTTGGGGTGTTCCTGAATGTAATACTCAGGTTCACCCCTCTCCCTGGTAGCTGGGAACACTTGCCCACTTCCTTCTCTTTTCCCTTTCTCTCTTTTCTTTTTCCTTCCCTTTCCCTCCTTCTTGATGCTTTGGTCATAGCTCAGAACCCTTCTCTTCTCTTCTCTGCTCTTCTCTTCTCTTCTCTTCTCTTCTTTTCTCTTCTCTTCTCTTCTCTTGGTGTGTCCTTGGACGCTTGTGTCGTAGCTGGGAACACCTTCTTCTCCTTTTCTTTCTTCTTTTTCATTTTTCTCTTTCTAAACTCAGGTTTCAGGTGCGGTTCTGCGGTTGCCCCTGTGCACTTGATTCTGCTTTCATCGCAACGACGCACATTTTTGTCCTGTCTTGTCTTCTCTTCATGTCTTCATCCTTTTGTCTTTGCTGCGTGCGCACGTGCACATTTGTGCTAACCTCACCTTTTCTCGCCTCCCCTCGGGGGGGCATGTGTGTGTAACCTTTGGAGTCACAAGGTTGCTTTTGGAGTGTTTGCTTTGAGTTTTGTTTCGTAAGCAGGGGACCATCCATGTACTTGTGCGCGATGGCCCAACGAAGCGGCCACAGTACATGCGGATATCACGGCTGATCACCGTGACGTACCTGCAAATTGTGATGTTCGTAGCCGCGATCCCATTCTAGAGTCTTGGAGGCTGTTTCAGGATGAAGGGAGGTCTTGCTGCTGTCAAGGGCTAACGCGCGTTCCGTGGTCCCTGTCGGTACTCGGCCGTCGATTTGAACCTTGTTGCAACTTTCGTGCCTTGAGCTTTGGGGTTGAACTTTGGACCTTTAGCCTCCTAACGACTAGAGATGATCAGGCCTCCCCGTACCTGACTTTTCAGGATTCTGGTTCCTTAGGTTGCCGTGCGGTGAGCGGCGTTCGAGTCAGTATGCATTTCTATAAGCGTGTGTGAAAGGTTTTTGCTTTTTGCTTCCGGCTGGGATGTGCTCCAGGATTCAAAGGACGAGCAAACTGGAAGCACAGGAGGCAAGACGAGATGCCTGCAGACGAGATGCCCGCAGCACTAGCTCATGCAAGATGAGCCAAACAAAAGCAGCAAATACGCTGGCTTCTGCTGGACACTTTTCATGACTACTCTAAGTTTCCCTAAATGATTAGTGCGAGCGCAATCAAGTAGGCGTCTTCTTAATTAAGTAGCAGGTCGGACACAAACCAAAGTTTCGCCTTTTGGCAAACTCAGTGAATTTCTGCATTTTGCAGGTAGCGACTCTGATTCTCCTCTGGCCAGACGCATAGTTGCCTCCCAATCGCAAGCATTCGACGTGAGAAGAAGGAAAGCCGGAAAACAAAAAGAATGAGAAAAAGAAAAACATACAGAAAGGAAGGCAAGAAGGAAGGAAGTTAGGAAGGAAGGAAGGAAGAACGGAAGAACGCAAGAGAGAAAGGAAGGGGGAAGGAGGAAACAAAGAAAGGAAGAAAGGAAGAAAGAAAGAAAGAAAGTGAGAAAGAAAGAAAGAAAGAAGGGAGGAAAGAAAGAAAGAAAGGAAGAAGGAAAGGAAGAACGGAAGAAAGGAAGAAAGAAAGTAAAGAAGAAAGAAAGAAGGAAGGAAAGAATTCAAGAAAGGAAGCAAGAAGAAGAACGGAAGAAAGGAGGGAAGGAAGAGAGGAAGAAGGAAGAAAGGAAGAACGGTTCAAGACGCGCTCTGACAATCAGCTTTCCCAAGCATAAGTCCACAATGAAAGAGGTTGGGTCAAGGTCAAGGCTCAAACAAAACGATGAACCATTGCTGTCTTGGAAAACGAGTTGAACCGAACAAAAAGGTAAAGCCGGCAAAGCGTCGAAAAGTAGCGCAAGCATGCGCGCAGGCCCTGATTCCCATCATTCTGACCTATTTCCTGCCACCCCACCCAGGGAGTCTTCATTAAAACGAAATGGGTGAGTTTGCAATCAAACTCCGTCGCAGCAAACACCAGTGTCCTTTTTCAAAGGTTTTTCCTTTGATCGCCACAAGAACCAACTAACGAACAAAGAAAAACATCAGAAAATGGCCGTTCATCTCTTGATAGCTGACCGTGATAACATCATGAGCAGTGGCAAACTTCGTGCTCAGGCGTTTGGTTTTTGTTTGCAGAATGGCGCGTAAGCGTTTATAGCGCCCCGCCACATGAAGAGGATCCAACCGCCAGCCGAGTGTGAAAGCCAAAGCGCAAATGTCCGTTCTCTTGTCCACAGCACCATTGTTTCAATGCGGCTGCGTGGCGACCTAACACCAAGAAGCAGCAGAACCAGTTTGACCGAGGTTTTGTCAACGATCAACAAACGATTAGCCAATCTCCATTTTGTTAGACAAGCCATTGATTGGAGTGTAGAGAAGCTTCAAGGTGCTAAATTTACCAGGAGCCGCCTCGGTGCTTCGAGAAGCTCGTTTAAAGTATAGAGGACAGGCTCATAGCTGGTGCCTTCTGCAGCAAGAAGAGACTTGGTTCGGTTCGGTCTGTGATGGTTTAGCCTGGCCCCAATCTTTTGTTGCCCAGAAGAAAATGTGCCTGACGGGTTGTCTGAAGAGTGGGAAGGCATGGGAGCGAATGGGCCTGGAAACAGGTGGGGTGTTTGCGCAGCGGGAATGATTCAAGCCCATCTGTGACCAGAACAACTCGGCGCACTGGTCGTCAAGGCCCACTGAAAGGATTGGGTTACTTCCTTGCGAAGAGAGTGTATAATGTCCTTCAAGAAACAGATGTGTCATCCCAGCGTCCAGGTTGTCAACCTATTTGCTCTTCTTTCTTTACCCCTTTTCCTGCTGATGTCGAGCCTATTTTAGGGTCTGATGCCCTTTCTGTCACGAACTTCTTTTACCATGAACCTGCCCTTTGTTTTCACGTTTTATGAAACCCTGGTGTAGGGTACTAGCCAAGAACTTCTGACTGTGTAAATGTGACATGAAGGCCGCCCTAGCTTGACAGTGGATTTTAATCAGCTTAACACTCCTGGGAGCGCAAACCGGTGACCAGTCTACCGATGTCCGAGCTGCGACGGCGAGAAGGAAGGGCTCGCGGCCGCGACCCTCACTGGTCTTGGGGGCTGACGTGGTCAGCTATCCTTCAACTTCGAGCGCAATCGTCTGGCCAACTAACTGTACACATTTTTTCACGTCTGACAGTCTCTGCGAACTCACGAACAGTGTCTCGAATCTCGTCTGGGTAAAGAGAATTCCCATGCAAAACACTTCTGACTGCCTCAAGTGACTCAAGAAAACGGGCTTGTGAGCAAAAACGCCGCACTTTCTCATGAAGCTCCGTCAATATCATTCGTTTTTCTGCCCGTGCCACAGGGCAACCTTGTGCTTGAAGAGCTGTGGCTTGCTGAGGGCCCTCGGTTTGAAAGCATGTGAGTGCAATTCACTCGGACCTTTTCTTGAGCCAAACGTTGCCAAGTTAATGGCTGGTTTCGAAAAGGGGACCTTCAAGAGTGCTTGGTACACTTCTTGCTTTGTGCGGACTGGTTCTTGACTCGCACTCCCCCCGACCTGGGTAGGTGGCTCTGACCTTTACATGCTCCGAGGTCCGGAGCGTATGAGAAAAAGCGAGTAGCCGACCCAAGCAGCCGGTCCAGTGCCTTTGCCAATCACTGTCGATCAGTACTCGGCGATTCCATTCTTGCCCCTTCCATGCAAAGGTGACCCGCATGAACTCCAGATCTGCAATCTGCTCCGGGCAGCTGCGATGTTCCGGATGGAACCGTTGCACTCTGGTGCCACCCTGGTACCTGATGAGCCAGCGGACACCATCCATGTCGATGTAGTCCCACTTGTCAACTCTTGTGAACTGGCTTGTAGAAGAGAGCCTCTTCCTCGACGACGTCCTGCACGGCGTCCAACACCTGCGGAGTCCAAAAGACGGAATCCTGAAACTCCACCTGGTCATCCATCATGCCACCAGTAGGCCTCATCAGCATGGTCGGTGGAGCTTTCCCCGGCCGGTGCCAAGGCCGATCGGTGGCTGCTTGGGAGCCGAACTTAGAGATCCCCTGCGTAGAGGACCCTGCCGCCTTCGAAGCCGTCAATGCCGCTTGCCCACGGCTTGGCCTCGAAGATGAACTTGCTGAAGCCCCACTTCCATAGCCCCGTTGTGCAGGCACCGGTGGTTGCTTCACCGGTGGTGCTTTCGCTGGTGGAGCCTTCTCCAAAAACCTGTCGCTCGGGATGAGGCGGATGGTCTGTGTCTCCGTGTCCACCTCTTCAGGGCGTAGTACCCGCAGACCTTTGCTGGTGACCAAGATGGGCGGCCGCGTCACATCATACGCGCCCTCGTCCATCGCTGCCTGGGTCACCTGCGAGGTCGTGTAGTGCACCTCTTCTTGTTGGTCGTGTCCCAACCACTCGCGGCCACCACGAAAGACCGCTGGAAGCCGCATTTGGATGCGGCCCCACACGCCATGGCTAGCGCTGGACGCTTCGGTGGTAGAACTGGGAGCCTCTAGGCTACTGTTTGGAACCCTTGGGTCTGTTGTCTCCGAGATGACGTCCCAAGAGTTGCGCGTGCGGCCCGACGCATTGGAATTCATGGCCTATTGTTCATTTCTGGTGTTTTCTTGTCTGGTCCGTTGTTGCGACCCTTCATGGTCTGTTTGTTCCCATGATGGCGTTCGCCGCAGGGCACACAGGCGAGGTGGAGGTTGGGAGGAGTGTTCACGTGACTTGAATTCATGTTCAATTCCCCTGTCGGAAAAAGATGAACACTCCGCGGGTCCCTGGCTCCCCGCGAAAACCCCACTACTCTTCACTACGTAGGCCATGCCAATCGCCAAAGATGCCACCAAAGCCACCCTTGTTGTTGTCGGCAAGCACGTCGCTGCAGCGCAACCAGCCATGCATAGCGCCAGCTTCGCCACTTTGGTCACTGCATCCACCATCTTCGCCTTGTTCTTCGCCTCCGTCACGACCTCCGTCACCTCCGCCACGACCTCCGTCTCGCGCGTTCCCCCTTCTGGAGCTTGAAAGTGAACAAAGCGCCTGAACCTGAACAAAGCGCCTGAACCAGCTCGAGACGTTCTTGTCCACGATCGCCTTGGTGAACACGTCCGAAAATGAGGCGCTTGCCGTCCAGGTGAAGATGCGCCATGACCCTTCTTGTAGACGTTCTTTGAGAACACTTGCGCGCAGCCTCAGATGCCGCGTTCTCCATGGACCATCGGGGTTCTGGATGATGCTTATGGCCGCCATGTTATCACCGTAGGTGACCGCTTCCGGCGTGTGGCCACTGATCTCCACCCACAAGGCTTTGACGGAATCCGCCATGGTGATCGCCTCGATGTAGGAGTACAACTCTGACTCTGCGGTGGATGTCTCCCACTGGATGAGCGTGCCGCCCAACATGGCAGCAATGCCTTGAACACTTCGACCACCTTGTGGAGCAAACGACACATCACTGTACATCTCCACAAGGTTCATGCTCCGCTCTTTGGGAAGATCGCCATCAGGAGGTCCTCTGCAGGGTCCATAGAACAGGTAGAGCTCGGGGGTCTCGTTGAGGTACTCCAGAATCTTGGATTCTTGGTTACGTCCCAACATGCTCACCGCATAGGACAAATCCGGCCTGGACCTCAAAGCGATCCACAAAATCTCTCCCGCGATGGACTGAGCTTAACCTGTCGCCGCTTTATCAAGTCCCGGAGATAGGAGGGCTGTCCCAACATGATCTGGTCCTCGAAGCGCTTCATCTCATAGCCACAGAACCTGACCCACTGCTGGTGGTTCACCTCCTCCGGCACCGACGTTTGCCAGTGGCTTTGAATCTCACGGATCAGGGCACCCCCTCCCCACTGAGCACTAGGAGGTCGTCACAGGGACTCCGTGTTGGCGTCCATCCGTTGGCAACAACAACAACAACAACAACAAAATGAGTTCTTCCTCGAGGTGACACGTGAGCGCAACTTGTGGAGGGCGATGAAGCAGGGATGTGTACAGCCGCAAGGGCTATACTGTTGAACTTGTAAACCCGTATAGGGCCTTATCTATCAACCACACTTCGTCTGCCGCCGCCACGCCTAACTGGACCATGATGCGAGGAGGTTCAACAGCGACTGGTCGAGCATTTTCAGGTACGGGACGTGGTGCCTGTAAGAATGCCGATTTGACATCTAGCGAGCTCACCCGCCACTCCTGGTGTGCAGCTTGGCGTATTGCCGCTCTGATCAAAGTGCCGTCAGCGCCTGAGGCGTAAGCCCCTCCGGGCTGTTTTCTGGTGGCGGGTCTGCGCCGGGTGTGGCCATGTTCCCGCATAT